TGAGTTCGACTGCATTCTGTTAGGGACCAGGGGAGTAAACTGTAAAGTCCAGATGGGGAAACTAACATAATGTTTACCCTGTACACCCTAAAATGTGCATGTTGCTGTTCAATGCTCCATAATCTAACAGCCAATCACCTCAATGACGCTAGTTCGCAAGGTTTGTGCGCGGACTTGACGGAGCCATGCAACCTCGTTAAAGAGATCGCTTTTCATGGAAAATGTTGTCAGTTACGACACCATTTGTTCTATCCCCTCCCGCTCACCCTCAAGCCAATTCAAACTGAACCCTCACGTAGTTCACTACTTCGAATTCCGCGGTGGGATTCGGTGACTATGAGGCTCACCTCATCGACGGTTCTGCTCACTATGATACATCGTGCATCAACACAAAACAAGGGGAAACGACTAGCACAAGGAAAACAGCAGTGAATTTCGACCTGGGTGATCGAAACAACAATAGAACTGAATCATATTCGGCAATAATTGTGGGTTCGAAAAGACCATTTCAAAGAACCGGATCGAGTATAGCCACAAAGCGTCTCGTGCAAAAAACATCTGGGCCACATTTTTCAACTGGCAGCTTCTGCGACACTAGAGTATCGTTACTGTACAGTGAAGCTGAAATGGTAAGTATTCGAACGGTTGAGCCCAAGGAGATGAACATGACGAGGGCCAGTTGCGATTTCGTCAATCAATGGTTTGTATGATTGAAGCTATTTTGAGCCTATAATGCACAGATCCGTGAGCCGGATTACTTTCCTCATCCCATTGTTTCAACATGTTCGACGACGTAATCCGTCCGTACCACGAATCAGTGCAGCTGCGATCAAAATGCACGCATACATAATATCACACCATCTTAGGTGAGTTACAGAGAAATTCAGGGGTGTAAACCATATTGTTTTGAACGGTGTAACACGCTCATAAGTGTGTGTGCATACACCGTACATATGGACAGTAGACCCCGCGTGCACCGAAACGCGATGGAAAGGGAGCGAAAAACTGAACCGATATACGCTCTCGCGCGCGCGTACTTGCGTGCGCCATAAACACGCGGAAACAAACCAACGAACTTACACATCATTGTTTGGAATGTACGTGGCTTATTTTTCCAGGCGACTCCAAACAAATAGATTGGCACACCGGCCAACATAATTGCCAGACTGAGGAGCGATTTGGCGGGTGAATCGATGACTGTGAGCACTCCGAGGGCGATATTAATGCACAGGTAGAGGATGGGGAAAAAGATGGGTAGCTGTGGTAAAAAGAAAAACGGAAGGTGAGAACGTTAGTTTTGTTATCAATTGGTTTCTCGAGTTTAAACCATGTTTATTTCCCCCCAGGGCTGTAGTTGGCTTACCACGGTAAATCTGATGGTCTGGACTATTTACTGAACAGTAAATCTCTGTGGCTGACATTTGTCTCTTCTATTGCTCGTACTACGGTAAACCGGGCAACGGGGAAAGGTACAGGACACGATGGATGGTATGGATTTCTAAGTATATTACAGGNTGGTGTTGGAGAGTCGGATAGGCCACAAGGGCAATAGATAAAACGCTGAATTATTGTCACTGAATTTGATATGCTTTTCACTTCCTCGGCAATCTTTAATCCCATCTATGACAATATGAGCCCGGAGGGGGGAGAAACAAATTCCTAAAGAGTGACACCCAGACAAGAATAACAATACACGGACCTCTCGTGTTTATGAATTCACAGTGGATAAAAACAAAAACTTCTTATCCGCATTATCAAGCATTCAGGTGAGGGTCGTCGTTCCGGTTTCGTTTTCCAAGCCGAAGGTCCAATGTTCGAGTCCCATCAGTCATACCAAAATAGATATGGATGAGTCTCAACAAGAACGAAACAGTTGACCTGCACATATTCTTTCGCACAATTCATTGCACACATTTCGCGAATGGCCGAAAAGATTGCTTAAAAAAGATATGTCGTGGACCAATCGATTATATTGTTTCAAACCTGTTTCAATAGATCGATGCGAACATGAAGACGAAAGCACTATTCATCCTATGGAGGAGAATGGTGCGCCATTAAAGCTTGGTAGAAGTTTGCTATTCCACCTAATTTTCGACATCGATTGGGTGGCTCGCACGTGGTCAGCCTACAGGTGGTGAAGTTCGCAACATCAACACGAGGGACAAACTACGAAATCGATTCGGTGGTGAGATTTGACCTTTGTGGGAGTAGCCTAGACTGTCAGTGTGCAATCACCATTGTCTACGTTGTGTTGCTAGTATCTGATGGAGCCACCTGGCAAAGAATACCGAGGTTAGGGTGCAGAGTTTTAGGTAATTGTGGCCGCTCAGTGAAGTAAGTGCCTCCATGGATTACGTTGACCATGGCGTGTCACCCAATAGAGGAGGATATGAAAGCCCTAACTAGGGGACTTGGTCAAATAGGTCGCGTTAGACTTCACAGTCCGGGAACCTCGGGATCAACCCCTAATTGTTGATTGGAAAAACGGAATAATACAGTTGCGTATCCGGGAGAGTGGCGATTTTACACCTACTCCATTTCTTTAACGGAACAAGAGAAACACGGTTAATACAATTGTCAAATCGTGGGCAACAGAAAAGGAACCCGTTTTTAAGCATACGTGTGTGAACAGTAAAGTATGGAAGGAAAAATGAACTGATAAACAAGAGACCAGGAAGTTGGCTATTTCATTCATAATTCTCTCAGCTACTGCAACCGGAAGGATAATTGAAATAATTTATCAACAGGGGTTTGTATTGATGAAAGTTTGAGTCCCCGTACTGCTGCAGCTGCAGCCGTAGTTTGTGGTGGTGGTACTCTGAACCATGAGGCGTGATTGGTTGAATCAGAATAAATGCACGTGCGCTTGAAAAAAACAGGACAAATTAGGGTTAAAATTAGCTTCTATTTGTTCTGTCGAGCCAATGTATACAAGCTCACAACTTACGCGGAAGCCGGACGTGTTCAGACCTGGATTGGTTCGACGAATGTGCAACAGACTACACACTGCGATGGCTGAGATCAGGGAGAACGCGAATCCGGTCAATTCGATCAGATAGAAAATGTCCGGGATCATTTGGAACGGGATGGCGAACATGGCCTGAGTTAGACGAGAGAAACGGTGCAGTAAGTGTACAAAAAATTGCTCACATACGGAGAAGAATGAATCCCAAGTGAAAAATGTAGCCAACTATTTAGGTGACGGGATGAGGGTATCACACATTGGAAATGACATTCGATCCCTAAACGTGAAAAACGAGTGAACCTAATGAGAGCATATGGTGAACAGTAGCGGTAGGAAAAAAACGAAATCAACTATGAACGGTGACCGCGTTATGCGGG